CATTGTAGATCACTAGCAACAGTATCAATCCTTTCCTCTATTTTATCTTGTCGCTGTTCCAGAAGGGCACATTTGTCGACAATACCACTAATTTTTGCTAAAAAATCGGAACTGAGCGTCGAAAACTTTGCTTCCATTGTGTCAGCAACAATTTTTGAAATAGATTGTTCTAATACTGGCAATGTAATCACAACGTCCTCTTGAGCCTTTTTAGTTGGGCTGTGAATGGTAGGCATTTTGAACAATTTTTAATTATTCGTTTCAAGATAAAAAAACCTACTCCAAGCAACTTCGCGGGGCCTTTTAAGACGGCATTATTACATAAAAGCCAGACTCTAATGAACGATTGGCATATAATTTTTAGCCCGAACTAGGGCTTATGTAATCGACCTGTCCGTCTGTCTGTCTTTCCATAACTCTCGAAGGAGTAGGTTGATTTTTACCAAATTTGATACAGACATGCATCTGGGCAACGACCGAGTTCGAAGATGGGTATTAGTGTTTCTCACGGGTCGGGTTCTTGCAAATCCGAAACCCGAACCCGATACTACTGATCCGAAACTTGAGGGCAACCCGAACCCGAAGAACCCGAAACCCGTTTGCAAGGATCCGAACCCGAACTGGCGGATCAAATCCGAAACCCGAACCCGAAAAACCGAATATATTTTAACTTTAAGGGGTGACTGGCTTTTTAGCCTAAAGGTTTCAAACAAACAATACTTCTGTAAATATGACCGAGGAATTATAATTAAGCACATTTCTGCATAAGTACATAACGCATTTTAAAATGTGAATCTTAATTCCTCGACCATAATAATGCAATCTCAAAAAATCGACCATGGATAATGGCTTTCCGTGACATTCAGAAATTTTTAAATCAGTTGAAAACTGAAAATGATTTTCAGTTTCAAGTTTCCAATATTAAAGTAAGCTCAAGCTAACTATTTAGCAAATTTTTGATAAAAAAATATATTTTATTTCAATATTCAAACCATAACACTAATTGAAGACACTTGTGAAAAGAAGTTACGACAATTAAAAATTTGAATTATTTAATGAATTACTGCAGCATAACCGTCGTAGCAAGTGTGGTTAACACTTTATTTTCTTTTTTAATGTTTTCGTATTCGTTGTGGCAAAAAGTTCTTGTTGGTTCGGGTTTCGGGTTCTTAGTCGGAACCCGAACCCGAAATTTTGGGCTCACATTTCTCGGACCCGAACCCGAACCCGAAAGTTTCGGGTTCTGAAATTTCGTATCCGAAGCAGGACCCAAACCCGATCCGAACCCGAAACCCGAAGTAAGAACCCTAACCCGTGAGAAACACTCGATCAAAAAACATTTAGACCAATGAGTGGTACCCTGGACACGATTATCACCTCGAAAGTATCCCTTGTTAGCTAACTTTTTCTACTTTTTTCCCCATTTACTTTCATGCACCATGGAAGTATATGTGGAAGAGGTAGTATGTTATCACGGCAGCCAATGTTAATTTGAGAGGGCTCGTGTGGGTCCGTCTTAAGAGGTTAAAGGCATTATGACCATCTCTAAAATCGAGGGATAGGGTACGCATGCCGTTTTTCAAAATTTCTAAAACTTTTTGAAATATCCACGTTTACATGCAATAATTTCTGTGCCGTGATCTCAACGCAAAATATTTTTTCAAATGATCTGAGTGACAGATAGACAAAAACCATTGACGGAGTCAAATGCAGAGATAGTTGGGCTACAACAAACGTTTGAAACTTTTTTTGAAATAAAGCATCCCCAAGGCGGGAAAATTCAAAATGTCATATTTGAGGGCGCTCCATTCTCGCTGGAGAAAATTTTTCACAGAATCGATTTCTTGAGTCATTCTCACTGGAATCATATTCCTGAGGATAATGTGCAGTGCCCTCAAGATAACCATGTTTTCGAAATTCGCCTTCTTTGAAAAGTTATCGCTGGTTTTCTGAAAATTTAGATTCCTTTAAATAAAACACACTCTGAATATCTCAGTATACCCCCAGTTGGTGGGAACCATTGCAAATATTAACTTATCATATTCGCAGATCATTTGGCTATAGCCAAATATTGTATACATTATTTTCTTGAAACAATGCTTCTCAAGAGCATGAAAATTCAAAATTTTGTGTCATTTCATTCTCACTGAGACAACATACCACGAATTTGATTTTTTTGACAGGATCTCATCTGAATCGTATTCCTGAGATGTAGGGGGTGTGCCCTCATTAGGACCTGTTTTTCGAAATAAGGCTTCTTTGAGGCGCTACATTGAAATTTTCAAAAAGTTGTATTCATTTTCTCCACAAGCTTAAAGTTAATATTGTTGAATTTTCCCAACTACATTTGAATAGAATCAGATATGACAAGCTTCAAGTTAAATTAACACATTTTTCGACATCAACCTTGGACTACGAACATCTTGCGATTTTTAAAATTCGCGCTCATAGATTGTGAATTAATACGTTAGGTATTGGAAAAAGTAGATCCTTTTCCGCGGTTTTACCGCATAACTTGTAATTTCAAGTTCTTTGATGAGAAGCCACTAATTGTAAGTATTACCGTGCCGGATTTCATGTTTTTAACGCAATTTCTAAGAATAGATATGGATCACCTCACTCCCAAATTTCACTTCGATATGACGATTTTGAAAAATCAGTATGGGTCACCCCATAGGGTCCATCAAGATTAAAATTGTTCCAACCTAAATTCAGTTTTTTCTGTTACAATCCACTAGCAACCTTTGTTCCAAATTTCAACTACGTACTACAAATTTTAGAAATCCGTCGGGTCACCCTATCGGGTCTCCCAGGTTTAAAATTTCTGAAACTCCATTCCAATTTAAACGCTTTGAGGTCAGTCGCAATCTTCATACTAAAATTACTGAAAATTATTACTATAGATATTTTTCAAGCTACAAATATTTTACTTGCACTTAAATAATTTAACCTGCTCTAAAGGTTCTTGGTAGTTAAGGGCAACGCATTTGGATAGTAATGACCCCCACCGGCCAACTACTTGGCCGATCATGCCCATCTCCGAACTCATCCTTACTTTTGACCCGAAGATGAAGTGTGCAAAATTTCAAGTCGATAGCTTTTGTTTAAAGAGAGTTATCGTGCGCACAGACGGACGCACAGACGGACGGACAGACAGACATCTTGGTAAATCTATAAGGCCATCTTAAAAGGCCTAAAAACTACAATAAAATAACAATTCACAAGCACTGTTTTGTGTGGTAGAATTTTTGGTATACGAATACACAGTAGCTTCGTATAATTAAATATGCAAGGTTAGAGCAAGGAGACTGAGTATTTACTGAATAAAAATTTTCAGAAACATTTCTTAATTTTTGGAGCTACACGTTTAATTTTAGTAAGACTTTCGCTTCAACATTACACACCTGCCATCGAAGAGTCAGAATAATGCAAATTATATTATAGGAACACTATTTGGGAATTAATAATCAAAATATGAATATATTCGTGGAGGCAGTTGTAAAGTGCGTGCGTACAGTCACCTGTTTCGCGAGACATTCTTTCCGAGACAATTACTGGTATGAATAAAACCAGGGAAATCCTCCAAGGAAACGGGAAAAGGGAAAGGCATTTGCCTGAGGGAAAGTCTCACAGGTCAAGGCTATTGCTCCTTTTCGTATGAATAAACTTTTACCTTTCTCGCCAGGCAAATCCCCTTGGTTTCGGGCAAATCCCCTGACTTCAATTACATGTAATTAAAATAATACCATCGCAACGAACACAAATGCATTTCAAAAATTTCTCTGACCATGATTTTGATCAAATTCTTAAAGAAATGTCCCCCAATGACCCCCACTGGTTTGTGATGTTCGCTAAAAAGGCTAAAATTCGGTATCGGCGCATCTCAGAATTGCAAAAATCAAGGAAATTTCAGCGTTGTTTTGTTGTATATAAGTGTATTTAATTTAATCTATTTTTGATTTTTTGAACACCCTCCAAACTCACTCAGACTAACCTGGAAAAAACCACCTTCAAATGCTCGCCAAAAATCAAATTGTTCTCGGAATTTAAAAACTCTTTTACGATTATTGTCCCATACAGTTATTTTATAATATTCAAGATCAAACTCATTTTTGAATTTTTTATAGATTTTCAAAAATTTCCTAACCAGGAAAAATACTAAAATTCTAACCTCCTAACTTTGTATAAAGCTAAAAATTTTCGAATTTTGAAACCTCCCTTTTTGTAAAATATGCACGACGATGAATGGGTTTCAAAATCGCCATTTATATGGAGGAATGGAAAGTTGAGACACAAAAATTCAAACTCAAAACCCACATGCAATGGACCTTTAAACGGCGAATAAATGAGCGAAAGCAGAATTTAATTAGAATCTTGGAAAATTTTCAACATTTATATGCAACTTGCGCGATACCGGTAGCATGACCAGTTGGCCGAAATCTGAATTTAAAAATATTTCAGAAAATATTTTCAGGTTTTCAATGAAAATATAAAATGCATTTTTTCGATGTCGATAGCAAATAAAAATCTATATTTTTGTCGATAAATCTGGTTTTGTGAGTTTCAAAGCCCTAAAATGTCCAACTAGTGTCCAACATTCATAAAAAGTACAACAGATGCTTAAAAACTAAGTTTTATTGCTAATTTTGTTAGTTGGGGTCAGCATAGTAGCTGATCGGTATTTTTTGGGGAAATTGCCTGAAGGAAAGGCTTTCACCTTGGTTTTATTCATACGAAAATCCCCGTCTCCAGGGAAAATCTTGAGGTTGAGGGAAAAGCTATTCCCTTTTTCCTTTCCCTCGGGGAAAAGCAAATGCCCAAATTTTTTCGGAAAAAGGATTTCCCTGGTTTTATTCATATCACCCAATAATCATATGTAGATCTTCCCCTGGAGGGAATATATTGAAGCACAATCTCTTTACTTGCCTAGTAACAAAGTCAAAAGTATAAAGTTTTAAGTGTCGGATTGCATTTTGTGAAAGTGTAGAAGAAAATAGAAATCGAGCTGGCCCAAAAGAAATCTTACAGAATGCATTTCCCATACAACATGAAAACACGAGGAATTAAAGTTATGGATTTAATACATTTTGGTTTTAGGAGCTTCGTTGTCCTTGCATGTTCCAATTACGCCACGATTGCAGAAGAAGGTTCAACCTGTAACCGAATTCAAGAAGACATCAGGTACATAACATACTTTAAAAATTTAGTGGGGAAGGCACGCATATGCTCTGATAATTCATAATCTCCGACATTAACATGACGTGTGCATAACATAAAAGGTTACTCGATCTCCAATTTTCCTGTTGGGGGGCCCCGTGCAGCAGTCAGCAGAATGAAGGCTACTGGCTCGGGATTCACGCGTCCTTGAGAAATTCACATCACTTCCTGGAGAGAAAAATTTCCACAACAGAATCCGTCGGTGCTATAAACCATATTTGGGCCAGTTTTATCAACATGTCAACTCATGGACGTTTGTCAACTGTAAATGAAAACATTGAAAAGTTAGAAATACCGAAATATGCCAAGAAACTTCATCACGAGAAGCCCGACCAGTCCATGATTCCCATGATATGTCACCCAAAGGAATTTCTCTATTGTGACAATAGCTTACATTCCGGTCATCGAGAATCTGGCAAGTGCAGGTGTAATTTATTGTACTCTGAGCCTCTCGTGAGGGACGGAAGTGGGGATGAAATTTGTATTGGACGGTGAGGCTATAAGCATTCGCGTGATTCTATATTTTTCATTTTGCAGTTTGTAATCTTGAGTTGGCATATGTATTTTTTAGGCCTAACACTCCGTGTGGATTTGAATTAGTGGATAGCTTTCCGGACGAGGAAGACCTGCTTGGACAACCTGCAGTGAATCCCATCGGTCTTCGAGATGGTACACATGCCCCTTGCATAAAGGACGCAACTTGTCTCCCGTTTAAAGATAGAAAGGAGCGAGATTTGTTTCGACAAGGGACGATCTGGCACGGGTTTGGTCATAGTCCAATTGCTGTGGAAATGATTCAAAGGTTTTTAGATACTTAATTTTATTTAAGTTTGAAAAAATTTTCAAACAATTAAAAAAATCAAAGGTCCGCTACCAGGATCTGTAAATGCAAACAAGGATTTGCTGAGAACGTGATGCATGACTGTGTTCCGATATCAGCAGTAATTACGGAGGCTCGTTGAAATACTAAATATAAATAACGTTTGCATATTAAACTCCGTTTCATTTCTGGTGATATCAGCGGGAAAGTCATGTGCCCATGTTAAGTAAATGGGCACATGACTTTCCCGCTGATATCACCAGAAATGAAACAGAGTTTACATTCTCTCAAATTTTTCTAACTTTTTACGTTTTTAAGTCGCTGCATGTCCAGTGAATTTGCTTTTCGAAATAGAAACTTATATTTTATCCAATTTTATTATGCACACGAAATATGCATAATAAACATATTGTATCAACAACATTACTCGACTTTTCTCTTTCTTCCATTCACATCAATTTTTATCCCATCAATTTTGAACATGTTGGTATGAAATATTCTTGGTCGAGGGAGCCTTTCCTTTACGAAGTGCTGCATAAATAATATGCCCGTAAATTACAATATAACCTAAACTTTAGTTCAGAAATATGTGCTCAATGGTTTCTTCTTTTTGTACACACGGAGTTTAATATGATCAAACCACGCTTCATGCATACCAACCCCGGTGCTGCTGGAAAATTCCACTTTTCTTTGCAATGCAAACTTGAACTGCACGATGGGCTCCGACCACACAATAACAGCACAATAGGCCAGCATTATGTTGCATTATTTCCTCTCCCTCTAAATCCAAATTGTAGCTCGGCTCGTTACATTCCATACGTAAGCCACCACAATCCCGAACTGTCTGCTTAAATCTGTGGAATATTTATTATTATAGTCTTTTTTAGTTGGGAAGTAACTCTGAGATTTTCGGAAATGGCCTGCCGTCATTCTTCCTACTCTATTCAAAAGAAAGCAGAGAAGAATAAGGCATGATTTACAATTCGCAATTTAGGAATGGTGCATAAATCTAAATCTGTCCATTTTATTAGTGGAGTCTGAATAGTTGATCCTACTTACAATTTTTTATCCACAATAAGCCCAGGAGTAGCTTCGCCACAATTTCATTTTTAAAAGCACAATGAAATAACATGGAAATTCATATTTCTCAGTCAGACTTTCACCACCAAGTTGTAATGCAACCCACTCTCTTCTAACGAGTGCACACGGTTGCATTAGCGGATATGGTAGCGATTATTTTTAAAAGACTTGTAAAGAAAGTAAAGCTGCTTTCAAACTAACAACAGAGAAAGTAGAAAAAAACATTTGTGCGTCTTTCACTCCGTGAATGCGTGGTTTCTTCGAAGAAAGATACTCTAATATAAAAGCTTATTAGCATCGAAATTGCAGATGTTGCTCCTTGCTCCGCTGGTCTGTCGACTAATAAAGTTGTCTTTGTGGTGGTTGTGAAGTGAAAGTTGCTCCTTGGTTGGAGAAGCTGCTGGGTAAGTAAAGTTCCACTTTGTGACCAATCCAGCACCACACTTCATAAGACAACATCAAGTTCAGTCTCTCCAAGCAAGCTGACTCCAAGCGGATATCACCACCAAAAGTGCCCTCTGCTAAATTAAGCAGCCCTGCTGTTCGCATATAAATATCACTGTATGTAGATCGCCTTATCCTATAAGTACTTGCACTCGTATACAATTTGTTCTATTTTCGTTGGACGATATCGAGAGAATATTTGAGAAAATTTCTAAAGTGATATGTATGAAGAGAGGACATGATCATGTGCATGCTATATACATATTATCTATCACAAACGAGCAATGCAGGGAAGGACGCAGTGGTACGTAGAATATCTGTATGCATACATAGGTATAATAATTACTTAGAAATTAGAAGGGAGTCTCTCACCACGGAATTTAATTACTTGCTCAACCACCCACCAATACTCCATCATTAAGAGAGCTCAGGACAATGAACAACTTCCTCGACCAGCAAACCAGCCAACTCGAGCTTGCTCAACTAACTTGTGTTGGTAGAGTGAAAGTGAAGTGCAAACTGGAAATGCTTCAGTCTTCACTACTGAAATTCTACAAGTTTTAGAATATTTGGCCAGTCCAGAAGAATTAGGAGGAAAGTTTTGCCCGATGTGTTAGTGGTGGCACTTTCATTAGTTTGGCAGCTTTTATGCACGTCCATTGGTTATACTAATAATACACACTAAAGACCAATGAGGTCTGTAGTTGAGCACAAACAAAGTATTAATTTTTGTGTGCCTAGAGGTCACTTGAACACGCGTCTGTTGTTGATACTGGATGAAATACACAAGACGAGGTCAGGTGGATACTTGAAATGCTACGAAAACAAATTTGAAGCTCAAAGAGGAATTTATTCAGATCCAGCAGCAGAGAGATGAAACACAAAGCAATAAGTGTTCTACAATGTTATTCACCATCTAAATTCTCTCAACTCAAAGGACGGAAATTTCGAACCTGGTTTAATTAAAGTTTGGATAGAAAGTGGAAAGAATAAAGGAGAGAGAAAGTACTATTTTGACTTTGTATATGTCTTCCCGTCCTCCAAAACCTCTTCGTTCGATACGCAGCACAGAACTGGGAACTGGAACATGTTTTGAAAATCGTTGGTGCATATAAAATAAATTTGGTGAACTACCAGGTTTTCTTCTCGTCTCGTGCATATGATGGTGGATGTGTAACTTTGTATTGAAATTGAATAGCTGCTGCTCTTTCGCTGCTGAGAAGACAAAAGAATTCAATCGGTAACAGGGCCACATCGACATTCTTTCTATACGGGAATGATTAGAGTTTTGCCAACTAAAGAATTTCTCATTTGTATATGCGCATGTGAGTAGTGGTGGATTGGAGCGCAGTGATACCCAAGGATCTAGGACATATTTTGACAATTATGGGGTGTGATGTCCATGATGTGGGTGGGTATTTGGAAGGATGTCCTGAACGACCAAAGATTGCGGTAAGGAGAAAAATACTTTGTAGTTTTTTATTGACAATCCGAACCGGTAAAAAACTTCCAAAAAGTATAACAAACAACTATTAATTCATGAACACAGTATATTGATTATCGAAAGTGTGAGTCAACCACTTTCAGTTCAGGCTTAGATAATTGACGCCGCAGGTTGATTGGAAATTCAAAGTCTCCATCCTTCCAGAGTGGATCCTCTGTTGCTGATCCGAAGGAGAAAGGCATAATACCTCTCTCTCCACTTTCTTGAGCAATTCTCTTGACATGGTCAGGTAGCCGTCTCCACGCTGCCCACTCCGTTCTGATATTTAGTGGAACGATACGAACTATTCCATGCGGTTTCTTCCGATTCACGACACCTGTTTCATACTGTACAGAAATTGTTATACATAAACAAGAGTTCGATTATACATGCATTGTACTATAGATAATGTATGACAGATTACCTGAAGAAAAGCTTCCTTCTCCTCTGCATCTTCACGAGAGGTGCACCGTGTTCGAGCAACTTGAAGTGCTATTTTCTCTCCAGACTTCAATTCCTTCAAAATGGTGTCAAAATCTGGGTTGACATAATGCGCCCTATTTATTCCACCATCACTGGCTTCCACGCCTTTCCCGTGATAAGCCTCCAACTGAGTCTGTTCTTCCGAGCCCAACAGCTTTTCCAATATTTCTCTCGGTCGAGAAACCCCACCCAAGTCTGCCTTCTTGAAGAGGAGGACAGAGTATACATTAAAACTTGAAGGAGAAAGCAGTCGCAATTCTGCCATCAACTGGCCAAAGAGAGTGTCGACTTCCGTCATAATGTCAGCTTCAGTTGTGGGTCGAGGTCTGGTCGAAATATTCAACGGGGAGAAAGTTGAGGTCACGACATTATTGTCACAGAGAACAGGGGAAAATTCAACTTTTGTGAGTGACGCTTCAAGTGGAACTATGTCGTCACCTCGAACGGCATGCTCAATCATATCCTTAATCTTTGTTGGGGGGTTGAACGCCAAGTTGGACAGTTCCCTACGGGTGTTAAGGAACCGCATCTTTGTTTCAGAGTATTGTTGATAGTAATATCCAAAATTCTGTAGAAAAAAAAACATTTCCTCAAATCATGGCAAGTGGCTATTAATGTTAATGCAGATACACATTAATTTACTTACTATTTCCAAGGCCTCTAATGCTCGGGCGTCCTTGCCAGCATCTGGTCCTTCAAACAGGGTGTCCCCACCGAAGACGACCTCCAATCCCTCCATATGGCCTCTGCCTAGTGCAGACAGGGGTGGGGATTGTTTATGCCAATTATTTATATCCGAAAATCTTCCATCCTCTGATTTCATCCCCGAATATCGTGCCGTCTGTTCCGGATGTTGAAGAATAAATTCTCTGTAGTCAGTCCCGCGACGAAACAGAGGCCCAAGAACAAATGCTCTGTATACATAACTGGCTACTTCCCTCTGACTAAACAATTCTACCCATTGAAGTTTTTTCTCTATAATTTCCGAGTAGTTTGGGAACGAAGGATCGAGGCAGTCTTCATTTCCTATTGCAGTCTTATTGTGATTGAGGGGATGAACCCGTTTCATTTGATTCGCCGTCCTATTCATTCAACAGAGGTTAATGGTAATGAAATATAAGAGTTCGTGCATTTGAGGGAATTAGGAATTACATTGTTAAAATATCCAAAACCGAGTGATACCTCTCAACATGGCTGCGGAGGTTCTGATAATGTATGAAAAATTCACCACAATCTGTACACCAATGACGGGGGTCATCCTTGAATCTACGAATTCATTGTTGTGTAGAATTTGTAAAAATAACACTGAATATACAAGGTTATTAATTTACATACTTGATGTGTAGTTGATCTATTGTGGCACCGCAAGATTTTTGATGAGTTGTTCTGTTGATCACTTGTACAAAGAAATCTCCACATGTCTGACAGAAGTGTGATTCATCATCCTTATACCTACAACATACTTACATTGGAATATGTGTCATTAATAGCATTATAAACAAATTAATGCTTACTTAAGTTTGACCTCTTCTGCAGTTAAAATGCAAATATCCTCATGACTTGATTTCATACTCGTACTGGCAAAAACCTCTCCACATTTCGAACAAACGTGTCGAGGATCCCCTGCAAATCTGAAGTTGAATGAATTATATATATATATATATGTATAATTCATTTCCTCACATATTATTTATGTTCATAACTTATATATAAATTACTTTTTAATTACGGCATCCTTTTTTTCTTCCGGCGTGATCCCACAATAAAGAGCATGTCTTGTTGCGCCACATTTGTCAACAAAATGCTTGCCACATTTTTTTGGACAATATGACCGACCCCTAACATGAATTATTAAGCGTTTATTTCACATACATTTAATCAATAATATTTGAAAACATGGTTTAAAATAAAATACGTACTCGAGATGATGATTTGAACTATCAGATAATCCGGTGCCGTCGTCATCATCGTTCAACTTTCTCTTCAAACCGGTGATCCTTGATGAAAAACATGATTAGTTTTGCATGTACATATACAACTATAATATAATGGCAGGAACCATACCTAGTATTATCAGCACCATCGTTAACTTCCGGGGAAGGAGGTGTCGGTGGAGGCGACAGAATTTGGTATGTGATGGGGGTAGTGCTTGTCGCACATGCCGTGACGACACGATTCCCTGCTGTCGGGGATGGAAGAGGAGTCAGATTTTGAGGCACCGGAACACTTGGCCTCAAAAACCGTGTCAACGGGGTTGAAATATTTGTCCGGCGTAAGGCAGGATTATGACGGCACTTGATTTGGTGTACACCCAACGCAGCAGCTGATGCGAATGTCGACTTGCAGGGAGCCCAGCATCTGTACGGTCTGAGAGACCTAAATGACAACATATACAAATTTAATAATAAAATTAAATTCATCAACTACAACTAGTTTAAAACAACACTAGAATGGAATTGTGCAAAATGATTCTAAGAAAACTTACCCTTTTCCTTCACCGCCTGCCATTAGTCACAAATAATTATTTAAAAACTACCATCAGCAAATAACTGTTGAGATGAAAAGTAAACACGGGCAGCAATAAATGTCGCGTGGAGAAGTAACACCTGAAGCACAGAACGAGTGGTGTGGTAGAACAGGATAAAACAAGATAAATAAATAAATCCCATGCACTCCAAACTCGGCTTCCTTCCAACGCAGCAAAGACAATCCGACCTCAATTCTAATTAGCACACTTAAGGGTGAATATTCGAATTAGCAGCATTACACAAAATTTGAGATTAGATTGGACTTTCTGTAATTTAATGTAATAATAATCTACTACTTGTAATATGTTTCATAACCCTCATATTTATTTTATACTAGTCCATTGTATGTGTTAGACTTCTCTTCTTTACTGTCAATCTACGTCACATGTTATTGTAATTTAAATATGTACACCAGTGTGGAATCCAACTTGTAAATATTTATCAAATATGTTGTAAAATAAAACAAAATGTAATAATTTAATTTTATAATTGAATTAAAATCTAGGGCTTAAAATCCCTACGAACGGCAAGAGTCCTGAAGCAAGGAATGGTCCTTACGATCGAGCCCGGCTGCTATTTTATTGATCACGTAAGTATTGTTTTGGCACTTGCGATATTATCATGCAGAAATTTGTTGGAGGTCGAGAGGATTATTACAAAGATTCGTCTGCTCTTCCTACTTTATCATTGCTTCAGTCAGATAATATCCCATGTCTTAAAGGTTTATTGTGTGCAGTTAGTTTATTCCCAACAATATCCAAATGCTGCTTCTTCTTAGAGCATTTAAGGCTGCAACTGAAGAAAGCATGTGTGTTTTATCGATTTCTTTCATATGCTTTACTGAGTGAGACAAAGGCAGAAACGTTGAGAGCAATGTAGAAGCAGTAAGAAAGTGATGAAATTGAGAGCCTGGTGGACCACGTAAGGCTTTTACCTTTTAGTTTCATTGTCTTTCTTCATGGTCGTTACGTGATGCTATGAGAATGTCGAGTTGCTTGCTCACACAAGATGCAGAATATAATAATGGTCTGCATATGTATGCATTATGTGTACGGAACTCGAATGTACGGAATTAAAATCCCTTTGAGCTTTCCCCTCATCCAATAATTGTGAGCTGGTTGACTCCAATTTTGTCTCCTTTTACTCTCTCTCTCTTCCCTCTCTGCGTATAACATACGTACCAAACAAAACCTACTCTTCCATGTTCAATATAGTCAGAGGCAGCAGAAGTGGGCAACTTTCTCTGCAAGATTCTACGTACCAGATTTGAAAGCTTGCAATAGAAATAGAGGCAAAAGCAGGTTCGGTCGTTGGGTTGCTGACTTGACGTTAAACAGGAAACAGCACTTTTCTCATTAGCCCAATATTGCTAGAAAATGTGGATGAATGTCGATTTTGGTTAGTGTGCAGGGAAGGGAAATTTGAAACAAAATCTGTTTCTACGAATAGATTTTCATCAATTTCAGTAAATTCAATACTTACATAAAGTGCGTAAGTATTTAGATGGATATAAATGTATACCTACCTAAATATATACATAGAGAAGAGTAAGTTTGGTTGGTTGGGGCTTTGCTATAGAGGAACTATCGTATGTAGTCATTCCTTGAGTGAGATCCTTGCACCATTCGTGGCACCATTCGTGTAATCAGAACTGTATACATTATTGCTTTTCTCCTCATCATTAATTTTCCATGTCATCCTTGAAAGCTTTCAATATTTGCGCTTGCTCACACTACCGTAAGTGAGTGAGTGAAGGGTGAGCAGAGTGAAAGCACAGTAATGTGCAGAGAACATACATACATACGTACATATTTCGTTGCGTAATATAAAGGAATGGACCACCAACCTCGGTTGTGCACTATATTTGTACTGGAGAAATTAAATTCCGGAGAGGAGAAACGTGGGTTTGTTTGGCCCCGAGCGGAGAAAACGATTCGAAATATGGGGGTTCAAGTGGAAGGACCACAGAATAGTTGGGATCGGGTTGAAACAGGGATGGACAAACGGATATAGGGGAAAGAGATTGGTAATAATAATGTCATGGCGTACATACGTAGGAGCGATGGCGGCTTATAATGGAGTTGTCAGGTTGTGGTTTATTCACCTCTTTTCCTCCAAATAGAATTTCCAAATGCGTTGTCCGGCTTCAAATTCGATTTAAATTAACAATCACGTTTCCCATTTCGGAATTTTGGATGAACTCGGGTCTCAAATGGAATTTCCAGCGAATAAATTTCGGCTATCGGTAATGGACATCTTCTGCAATGGACAATGGATTTCTGGGAGCGGATAAAGAAAGTCCGGTTTGGGTGGCTTCAATTTCAATGGAGAGTAAAATACCTGCACATGTTGTGTGGGGGAAAAGTGGAAAAAAGGAATCTATTTTGGGATCCCCTTTAGCTCTGGGTCGTACAATTCACATTACGACATATTTGTGGTTTACTTTCTTTGTGATGGCTTGAAGAGGGACATTCATCCACAGTCATCCATCTTGGTTTAGAAGAATGAATCTTCACAGTTGCCAAATTCATACAGATTTACATATAATGTGAGGCCTATTGTGTATTTCACTACTTGAAAAGGTTGATTATAATTCCTTTCTACAATTGCAATCCAAGTAAATAATTGTAATTAGTAATTGTCCGGAAACCATTTAATTCGTTCTTCGAAGCTATCTAATTAGAGAAACATTACATCGTCTCTACACCTTGAAGAGGAACTTTGGAGGTGCCTGTATACATACATATTCGAATGTGACGTGTATTCTAAGGCCTGCCTGAGGTCGTTCTCTGGTCGTGTTTCTATCATTTCTCTGCCACGCCACTTGAACGTGGTGGAGGAACCTTGTCTTGAAAGAACATTTGTCATTCAGCCCGATGCCTTGGATGAGTCTCATCTCATTTCGAACTCCAACCCCACTCTTTATGAGATCCACGTCGCAGGGGACTCATCCCAACCAATACGAGTCGACTCGCTCTTTTGATACTCGATTATGACAATAATAATATCTTCCTAGTCGCTCACATTCTACATTCAGCTTACAGGATGCATATGAACCTGGAAGAAATAATTAGAGGGCGAACAGTGACAACTTTCAGAATAGAGTTTAGACGAGCGACTGCATACAGCATATTCAAGAAATCTAAAAATAATACTTACCCACACGGATACAAACGGAGGGAAGGCAAGGGTTTATTCAGGCCAGTTGTCACATTGCATAAAAGTGTACGGACGAAGAATCTCCATGCTAGACGGACGTTAGATAACGTGAAGGACGGAAGAAGAGGGAGAAAGACGGCGAGAGAGAGAGAGAAAGCGGAGAAAGTAAGTAAGTAGCCGGTGGGCTGGGAGCTGGGGAGGAATCCGTCACTCCGACACCGACTTTCGACTTTATGAAGATGCATGACCGGAATTCCTAATTTGGGTTGGTCCGAGAGGAAATTCCTCATATGACACGTCCTGCGCTCGTAACTAATTTTGTTGGTAGAACGAAATGTGGCATGTTCATCACAAGCACCACATAAAGTAAGGCAGCCAGTGTATCAAATAATTCAGCATAGGCAGCCTGATATCTTGGATTTTTTCCTTCTTTTTATTACTCTTTTTGAGATCATTAGTCACATCTGTGCTACACGAACGTACGAAGTTGGACGGAAATAAATTTGATAACAGATGCAATGTTGAATGTTAGTAACAGTAAATTTTACATTTAAATAAATTATATTGATTGTGATCAAATTGCTGCGGATGACGTGGAGGCACTTTAAAGTGATATAAATCAGTGTTTCCTGATCTCAAAATATGTATTCGCTGCACTTTTCTTCGTTGCTGGACTTGTAGTGTATGAATCACTTTGTGAATTTATAGGTTCCCAAAGTCATGTCACAGCATTGAAGTGAATCAGTAACTCAAACGGATATAAACGAAAACAAGCAAAGATTGTAAATTACAAGTCAACAAAGAGTAAAAAAGTTTACAAAAGACAGCTTACATAGCACGGTATGTATAATCGTGGACATGTTCAGGAAATGCGCAGCATATTCGGAGCCAAAGTTCGCATGAGAAACTGCATCTCTACTTACACGCTGCAGTCATTTAAACAGTTGTTTAAAAAATCGTACTTTAGTTGTCACTCAAGGAGGAAGTGGCAACTAAGCTCCAGACTCATTAATAACTTGTAAAGAAAATGGCCAGGGCATAACATACGGGGAAAAAGCATTAGAGAGACATGAGATGTGTAAGCGAGATTTCTCAGGGTGATATAATACATGCATGTAGGTGATTACATACAACTAAACATTCCTGCATGTGTACATGTGTATGAATGTCACCAAAGGTTGTCAAAGACATGAAATTGGTTCTATGTCTTTCTTATATTATGCGAGGATAAGAAGAGCCAAAATGCATCGTTTGCATTGACACGAAATAATTAACACTGCGCATTCAAATTCATGATTATAAACATTTTCTCTTCGATGCCCATTAACACCGCTACGCTTATCTTCTTATCTTCTGAAGCGAAGCACTGATTTTAATTTGAATGAATTTTATTACTGTTGCTCAGTAAGCAGTAAATATCTTTCTTTTATAACAAATGAATAAAATGTTGTTGGATCAGGTTACCGATTGAAATTGGCAATAACATAAGTTTCAATTATACCGCAGATTTAGGTCATCCTCTGATCCGGAAAGGGGCTCGATTTATATTTTTATGACTGTTCAGTAAAATTGATTCAGTTCTACGTGCGTACAACACTAATCCATTTTCCTAAATTTTCTACTATGTAACGGATGTGGGCGTTTCAATTTTATATTTGAGAGGGATATTATTTGCTCAAAAGTATTAAACAACATGATGATGGTCCATTAAATAGATTGAAAAGGAGCTTTGCAAACCTTCTGGGGAAATTATCTTCTCAAAATAACATTGGTAAGGAGGAATTGAAGGGAAGAGAGGCCTAGATGTTTGATCACGTGTAATTTGATTTGTGATACTCTTTCAGCAAACACACTGCAAATCACTATGCTTCAACTGCATAAAGTTTTAAAATGGTCCAACTTTATTATCTCTTCGTTAGGTAGAAAAATTGGAATATTTTCACTGGACTTATATATTTGGGAGAGTGGCTTTTGAAGTTTTTTTAGACAGCCAGAAGGCATGCATTTTTTATAAACTAAGTGAAATGGCTTTTCCAAACTTTTGTCATTACGGCGAGATGAGTAAGTTGATTACAGTTTCTATTCTACAACTAACTGCTTCATTTGCTGATGACATGACTAGATTGTGACTTTTTGCTTCTTGCCTTTAGCTAAATAAACCTACGACTTTAAACAACTTTCCTCTAACTCACTGTCTGATGATATTCGCAAGTTTATTGAAACTTTGTTGGCCTAATTGAAGTAGAGGAAGGATTCTCCGCTACTACGAACATAGCTATTTTTTATATTTTTATATTTTGCTTCCCTCCATTTGACTGTTACCACTTGGTTGTACATATAATCTAGAAGCAAGTGGTAGAGTAGGGTAACGATTGGGCTGCTTTCTTTATGCTTGTTCCTAGAATAAAGTGAAAAGCAAACAAGGATTGA